CTATAACCACTTGGTATTGGCTACAAAGCCATTGACACGAGCTATGGAAATACAATCTAGCTCTCTTAGTGAATAGAAAAAGTGACACCTTAAGTAGGATACTCTATGTCTTGCAAAGGCAGGACACTGTAGAGTGTTAAGAAGTTCGAGAACTTTACGAACTTTTATCTTTTTTACTCGTACAATACTTTTAATATAAATTAGTACCGAAACCGCATATAGTCCAAAAGGCTTTCTAACTAGGTTGTGTCTAAAAATAGGACGAACCAGGACTCAAAAACTAATTTTTTCATCTTAAGATGTTGTTTGGTACAAATAAAAAAAGATTTAGTAAAGAGGTTTCGATAAGTGTTGAACTACAACAACAAAAATTATTTTTATATTATTTTAATTAGTTCGAGTATTGCCAAATACCAATCATCAGTGGTCTTGGAAATATTTCTTGTATTTAAATATACGTAAATAATTTTTTGAGACTGCAAGTATTAAAGGTTGAACTTCTGCGCTGCCAAATTTAAAGCTCAAAGCCGTACTTGACGATTTGAAATTTCTTCGCTTGCGAGTGAACTTAAAAAAATCTTTTATTTATATATCTTATAGTTATTCTATTACAACTATATAGCAAGAATTTAATATTTACATATATTTATTTAAATTAAGTAAGAAATATTAACTCTGCAATACAATTTTATTTGATAAAATGCAATTTTATCTGATAAAATGCACTTTTATCTGATTTTTCGATAAGAAATAATTAATTTCTTTGATTCTGAATATATGCATAAAGTATATGGCTCAATTAAAAAATTTTAGAAAAATTTAATTTCCTTTTAATTAAAGCAAATACATCAATCAATTTTATTAATTGAACTTACAATTGACATAAGTTATTTTGTGTTGTGCAATTATGAATTGAGTAATGAGAAATCTATCTCAGACTCGTAAACATACAAAAATATTTTTTGGATTGAAATGCAATTTTATTATTTTACTTAAATGTTCTTAAAGTAAGCTGAAGTGAAGCCTTATAAATAGAACCGGATTAAATATCATATTTTGTGTAGACACCAAAAAATGTGGTTTACTTATTGATATATAACATATATAATGACACATACATAACATAGGTACATATGTTGCATACAAACATAATTGTAATTAAAACCAATAAGTATTCACATTTAAAATCTTACTTAAACCAAATTTTTGTAGTGTATTTCGTATCTCCATTAAAGTATTTTCAACTGTTAATATTTCAACTGCCTTACATTTTAGTTTTAACTCAAATGTGTATTCAAATGTTAATAATATTAAAACTATTTACAAATAAATGTATTTACAATTTCAAACTGGCTTTACACTTTAATATAAACAATATGAGATTATTTTATTTTAACAGTTTTATAAGATAATCAGTAAAATAGGTATAATATATAATTTACTTATACATTATTAAAAATTAATTACCATAAAAAAGTTTAACATCTAATAAAATTTATTTATAAATTAATAAAGATTTATTAGAAAAGATTTAAACGTCTTACAGTGCGTTTACACTATCACAATTAACTCGACAAATTAACAGTAATAAATACCAATAAATAAATAAAAAAAAATGGTCCACCAAGGACTGTTAAATTAGAATAAAGATCATGTTATCAAATATTTTAAAATTTTTCTTTTAACAAAATCAGAAACATATATATAATTTTAACAGAAACTACTTTATTGATATATCTCGAGAACGGACTACAAAATAATGATAGAAATCATGGCAAATGAAACACATGATCACAAGATCAGTTAAAAGGAAACCGATAACTGCGATAAAAACAAATACACCCATGTCAAAAAAAACTGTTTAACATCTATTAATTACACTCCCAGACTAGTCAAAAATGCTACTAGAGAATGTTGATATCACAAACCGGAAAGTTTGTGACCCACATGTTGGGAGTAAGTGCATCAGTCTTTTTGCAATTTGGTCTACCATTTTTACCCTTGCAGAATAGTACACTTAGTAAAAATATTCTTGAAAAATGTTACAAACACATACACACAGTTAACTCATATAAGCAGTCAACAAGATCGCAGTGCAATTTAAACATTGTGGCTCCCATAAAAGCCCCTCTGGCTTCTATGAATTACAGAGATATATTTATAGCAGCCGCTGCCTGCCAAACTAAACAAGCTATTATACTTACTTACCATACTTATTAAGATGACCCCTACAGTATGTTTTCGGATTTCGAACTGTCGCAACACTCTTCTACCTATCTATTTTATGAAAAATATATGTTTTTATTAGAAAGCGATTTAGGCGATATAAAGATCCAAATTTTTTTTTAAATTTTTTACGACTCTATACCTTAAATGCCAGACTATACCTATATTAACCATCTTTATTTATGATCTCAAAAATATGATCACATTTTTCGGGTAGTTTCATAATATCATATGTGTAGAAGTTCTATGGTTCAGTAGCCCAAAATTTCACCAACGAATTAACAATTGCTTACAAATGTGGCCTCAAATGTTATCTTGTAAACACGTATTCGTTTGACATAATCGAGATAATGTTGCCCAATTTATATATACTAACAAGATCTATTGACAAAAAATCAGGAATACTTTTTTTTAATATCATTAATATATAAATTTAAAATCATTTAAAGAAGTATGAATACGAAAATAGAGGTCGTCAATTAAGTTTAAAATTTGTATGAAAAGGAATTTCATAAAATAAACTATAATAATAATTGTGTTCCATATTCTATTATCTATATATAATAATTGTATTCTATATTCTAGTGCATTCCTTAAATATTGTATTCAGATCTCTTGGTTACTTAGGTAGTAATCGTTCAATATCACATTCATATCACTCTCATTTGGACACACTTTTCCAAAGAACTTCGCCCTGAAGTCTGGACCCATTACTTAAAGTCTAACCTTTTAATACTACAACCCTGCTTAAGAAGTGATAAATGTCTTATAATTCTTAAAATGTGAGGAAGTGCTTATTTGAGTGTGAAATTTTGTATTTAATGTAGTTTCCTGCTAATGAAGATCATTTAACAATATATTTATACTTAGACTTATAGCACCTCTCTAACATATTTCTATATGGATTTTGTATGGATTTGGTATGAAAAATGACACATATTGCTGCATATTTATTTTACTGAATTCGATTGTCTGATTATAGCATTACATTGTTCTACAGCTGACGTTATTGATAGTCACTGATTCTCCAGACATGTCATTGTATCAGTATTAAAAGTTATAATCAATCAACAATCTATTTTTAAAAAACGAACAATATTAAGAAATTAATCTACTAAGATTGAAATGCAGTTCCAATTAATCTAGTCTAACACATCTATGACATATGAGAGTAATATTTTTTTTCCACTTTTGACTCATTGTATTCTCATTAACTGTAAAAGCTACTTATAAGCTCAGACGTAAACTAAAATCAAAAAAAAAAAATATTATCAATATTATTGACATAATTCTGTAATCTGTTCTCACCACTGTAGCTCTAAATAATCTTCCACAATCGCAATAAAAACCAAGAGCAACGAACGCATTGTCAGCAACAAATTGACACAATTTGAAAGTACGAGTATCTTTTCTTTTTTTCAATTTTTCCTACATGTCAATGTATCTGCTATTGTGCGAATTAATTAAAAGTAATTTGCGGTAAATTAGGAAAATGTGGACAAACATAAGAGCATTCAAATTTAATTACCGCGAATCAAGAGGATTCGTGTGAATACAGAAATGCCTCATATGCACCCATATTCCCTTCCAACTGAACACGTTTTAAATCTGTTCTCACAATATTCCACCTCATAACCAATAAAGTGCATCGATGCGATAATCCCACAAAGAATATTGATGTCTACCATAAAATATTTTATAATCGAGGTTAGTCAACGTTGGGTTTTCTAGACGCGCGGTTGTTTGTTGAGATTTTACTAAAATAATACATTTTTTCAAATTATTTTTTTAAATTATTTTTTTAAATTTCTTTTTATATTAATAAAAAAAGTGTTAAATATAAAAAAATGTCACAAGATTCGGAGTATTGGCATCACAATGTGGCGGTAGTTACTGGCGCTTCGGTCGGTATCGGTGCTAGTATCGCTGTGGCTTTAGCTAATGCTGGCATGGTTGTGATTGGTATATCAAGACGAACGGAACTAATTGATGTGAGATCTTGTAATAGTTGTCTATATAGCTTAATTAAAAATATTAAAATATAGTGCATATATAATAATATGTGATATTTTGTATACCTTTTTCATCAAGAGAGCTATGTAGAAATCGTCAGATATGCATATATGCTGCATTTATTCGAAATAAATATATATGTGTAGTCTTTATCAGGATGAAAAAAACTAATCCATATTACATAATCAACTTATCTATCGACCAATGGTCTGTGAATGAACAAATCTATATTTGTTTTAAAAAACGAATTGTATCAAAATTCACATCAGAACGATATAGCCGACTTATCAGAGCCCTTTTCCGGTGCCACATATATGAATAAAAAAAAATCCTCTAAATCATTTATTAATGTAATAAAGTAAGACTTTGGAATTACCCAAATCACAACGTGAACCTACTCTCTACATAACATATATTCATATAATATATAGTATAAAAGCATCAAGAGAAATAAAACCGTTGACAATATCACTAACTTTACGGAACACCAAATAAATGAAGTACTGAAGCCTCTGTGCGATATAAATAGACAACTGTCAGAATATATGCTATAAAAGCCGAGATATAGGTAGCTTAAGTATCTTAAGTATAAATTTCTTTGAAATAATCAGTTTCAAAGACTTGAACTTCTTTCCTAATTTTGAAGAGAACTATGTTTTAAAATTTGCTTACATGATGTATGCCGTTATTTACTATTTATTCACCCACTCTAATCTGACATCGCTACCGGCCTATCAGATCCTATCATGAATCACCCAGTTGCACCTTCCTAGCTACCTATTTTTATGTTTTAATTAAATATAAATTAATCATTTCAAACTCGTTAACTAAAATAATGTACACAGATATATTGAAATATAAGTGTAACCCAACAGCACATATGGATTATAAAGTCCCCCTTCTTAATAGTTTTTGTTATATATAATATTTTTAGTATTAAATTATTTTTTCTGTGCTGTTAATTTGTGGATTTCACTAATTTTAAATTTTAAATGAATTAATCATTTCGAAGAATTCCTCCTATATTAAAGGGAGCTCCTCCACTCTCGTAAGCGTTCTGTGCTCGAATTAACTCACGTACATAAAATAAGCAAAAATTATAGTGCAAGCTAACAGCACCAAAAACGTTTAAACAATAAGCAAATGGGGTGACAATTTCACAAAAACATCACCAACAACTAGTAACTAACAAAAACATTAGCTATTGCCTTATATACTTGGGTGCCTGCCACTTCTTCAAATCATTGCTGTTTACCATTTTCGGACATCCTGATTCGGTGTTGCGATTTTATTGGTTTCGGTTTATGCCTCTTGCTGCTTTTAAATTATATTCTTAGACAGTTAAGTTTAAAGAATTGCTTTATGGACTTGTTGTAAGCCGACATCTTACTTTTTCTATGTTTTCACTAAAGACTACCATTTGGATGAAACAAAATTTAACCACGGATATCTATTGGAATCGTATATAAAATATATGCATTATATAATGCCTACGTGGATGTAGTGGAGCATTAGCTTATATATATTAAAGTAATTGAAAAAAAAATTTATGAACTAAGGATATTGAAGATCTAGTAAAACTAAATCTGGTTTTATATGCAAATAATGATCTTATTTTACAAAATGTGTTGTTTTGACATATTTTTCTTTAAGGAAAACTTTGTATATAGACATACTTATTTATTTTTCATGTTATAAACTATTAATTATATTTTTTTTCTTTGAAGGAACTTAATAAAAAAGTTAAGGGAAAGGGAAAAATTTTCTCTCGCCATTGCGATTTAACCAATGAAGCTGCGATTGTGGAAACATTCAATTGGATACGTGAAAAATTTTACGTTATACATGTCCTGGTAAATAATGCAGGAATAATAAAGGCGAATTTCTTAACAGGTTGGATTTTTAAACAAATTTTTATATATAGACATAGCAGTTAAGATATATGACCTATAGTTAATAATGCTGCAATGAATATTATGTACTCCACCGAAGCGCTTGCTTTCCGATATTACAGATGGTAAATTAACTTGATTTCCATATAGTGTTTAATTAAGCAAAAACGGCATCCCACTTTATAAATACGAGATGCGACACCTTCATCACTATGCTACCCAAGCATATTCGATTCTCTCGTTATTTATAGTTATGACTGGATCTGTGGATGCACCGTAGCCGCTGCACATAACTTTTTTTAGACGTGTTAATCTCAAGTTCAGCTTTAATCACATATGTGCTGATTGTATTGATGTTATTTTGAAGATCGGTGCATCTATGGCTTAATAAATTTAAGTCATCAGCGTATTCTAGGTCTTCGAACTGAGTGAATAAAAATAAAATTAAGTATAAAATCTTTCTATACATAGAAAACTTCCTATATAGAAGGCTGACTAGACACGTTTTATTTTCCAAAAAAGTATTATATAGGAATATTTCTTAGTTAACGATGAGATATTTGGTTTTTAATCTTGAGATCTTTCATATAACCTATAACAATTTTTGATCACATATAGAAATTAACATAAAAAAATTTAATAATAAATAAACATATATTATGTATATATATATGTATTATAAAAAAAAATATATATATAAAATAAAATAAATATAATATATAATAAATATAAATATAAATAAAAAAATAACATATTTATTTATAAGTTGTAAATAACAAATACTTGATCTCTTACAATAGAATCAACTACGAAGGAAATGGAAGAATTATTTCAACTGAATGTGATTGCCACGACAGTTTGCATGAGAGAAACCTTAAAACATATGCGAGAAACCAAAACCAGAGGACATATAATCGTCATAAACAGGTATGAATATTAGTAAGGAAGCCAATGAAACTTGTCTGTTTTAACGAAAGAAAACAAATTTTTAATATAAACTACTATTTTCAATAGAGAGGAATTTCGAACAGTAGTAAATTACAATAACAAAATTTTATTTTTTTATTAATTAATTGAATATTTAGCTGACCATACAGCTGTTTTGAGTATTGTCAAATACTCATCATAAATGGTCTTGGAATTATTTCTTATATTTAATTATTTGTAATTAATTTTTTGAGACTGCAAGTACCAAGGGGTGAACTCATGCCCTGCCAAATTTGAAACTGAGAGTCAGTGTTCGGACTTGAGTTTTGTTAATTTTGCTGTGAAAGTTCATTAATAAATTCACTTGCTGTGTTATATTAAAACGAAATCATAAAACAGTTGTAGAATAATTGAATTGTTGTTAGTTCCATTAACTCCGTGGGGAGTTAATGGACCTCATTAATAATGATAATTGAATAAATTATCATATTTTTATTTTAAATTGTTTAATTTCAATACTATTTTTTTATTTTTATATAATTTTACAAAGACTTTTACTTAAGCGCAGTTTTGAATTGATCACACACATATTTTGGATATATCTTAAATATCTCTATTTAAAAAAATTCAGTTTTTGCTCTTTATGTCTAGTTGCTCCATATCATTTCTATAAATATTCTCTTTTGTGATTATAAAAATTATTTGATTTAATTTCTTTTTACTACTAAGTCTTCTGTATCGAGTAGATACTTTATGCATCTTTAAGTAACTTGGGGCTACAAGGAAAATGAATTCCAATCACGTCCATGAAAATTATATACATTAAACGTAAATTCCATATTATTAAAACTTAATTATATTTAATTACATATGACGGATAGTAAATGCATTTGGTGTATATTTTTGTGGGAGTCCCCCCACCTTCTCACAGAATCCACAAGAGCTTAAATACAAACATTTAAACACAAATGCGTATACAAATATAATCACCAAATGCAAATAGCCATAGACCCACACTCACAATTACACTCAACTACAAATATTATAAATAGTACATTAATGTATATCCTTGCAAATCCTGGCGTACACACAATCCTGTCCTCATAAATGCACTTGTAAGGTAAATTAAGTATTTACGCAGTTTTAACACAATAATTTTAATACTGATGCCTCTCGACATATTTTAAGTGACACATGCACAGTCCAATATATTCCCTACATTCTTCCACATACTTATATACTGCACATACTTATATACAGCACATACTTACATACATTAAATCAAAGAATTATTTAAATAATTAAGAAAAATGCTTCAATGTCACTACAATGTCGGAAGGTATGTTTAGTTTTGATTTGACAAAATGGATCATCCATTTGTGGTTACAAAATTATGTTAAACTTAAATAAAATACACTTGTGATTGAGATTTCAGCAAAATTTTTATTTCAGTGCATTATCTATCACTGACCATGAGTCTAAAATACAATATGATCCAATTTCATCCACAGAA